GGAACAGTTGCTGCTTCACAATTTTCCCAAAACAGAGTCACTCAGGAGGCCATCAAGGGTGGCACATTCATGAGCTGACGGGTGCCCTCTGCATGCTCTGGAAGCTGATGTTGGCTGTGTGGTTCTGCCCTGGGAGGGTGGAGGGAGCCTTCCTGCAAGGAGATATGCACTCACTGGTGGCTGAGACAGCTGTGGGCAGTGAGTGCAGCTGAGCCTGGAGCTGTATTGCCATGTGGGGAATGTGCTGAAGCCCTGGGATTTGGGGGAGGATGGGCCATGAACACTTCAGACCCCACAGGAGTCACAGTCAGGGAGAGCCTAAGGCAGGGCAAGGCTGCCCATGGCTGTGGCTGCTCAGCCCCATGCAGGTCCCCCACTTACCTTCTCAGAGGTTGTCCTGCATACACAGAGTTCCACAAGGTTTTTCCTCCACATAATGCTAAGCAGTGCTGCCATTTCTCTTCCTTTCATCAGGAAATGTCCCTGAATCAACTACTGCCACACCTGAGCCAACACCAAATTCAGGTAAGGAGCATAAGCCCTCAGGTGGCCCATTATAAAGACAGGTTGGAATAACTCATTCCCAGGGAGCTCTGCAGCCCCCACAGGCGGGGATGTGTTCCCCTTCCTGGGTTTCCCCAAGTTTCTTGAACAGACCCAAAACCCCACAGCTGTTTCTCACATACTTGCCATGCAGGAACAGTTGCTGCTTCACAGTTTTCTCTGTCAGTCCTCTCCACTCTTCCCTCTTTCCGTGCTGGCCTTTGCTGCAAGAGGAATGTGTTGGGGAGGGTTTGACGAGGAGGCTCTTTTCCTGCTCGGTGCCTTTGTCTTCTGCACCAGCCCTGGGTGCAGACGGATCCTTGCAGATGAGGTGCCCAGGGTAAGCCCATTACTGGGCCACGCAGGAATTGTTCCTGCACCTGCTTGGAGAATTGGCAGGGAGGGAGCCAGAGCACACACCAGCATGGGGCTGAGTGCCAAGGGGCCGTGGCCTGGGGCCACAGAGCAGTCCCTCCTAGGAATCCTCTGTGCCCCACCAAGCCCCCATCGCAGTGGGACATTCCAGGGAAGACAATGAGCTCCTGATCGATGCTGTGTCTCCCCTCCGTTCTTCCCCGCTGGCCTTTGCTGCAAGGAGAAAGCGTTGGGGATGATTTCACAACTGTTCTTGCTTTCTACTTGGGGTCTCTGCCTCCAGAAAACGAATTTGGCTTCAGTAGGAGTTCTGGAAACACAATATCAGGAGATAAGCCCTCTATCCAATGAAATGTCATTAAGTGTTTTCCTTTCCAGTTTTTGGGGATGAAAGACATCTACTTTATTGCACAGAAAATGCATCTATGCACCTATCACACCTATGAGAATCTACCTGTGGAGTTAAGTGAAAGAAACCAGGCAGGGTGAAAAGCAGAATTTGGTGACTTGGAAGAGAACTGTAATTGCCATCCTACATATAACATATATTGAAATATAACTTTTAATTACTTATAAATGAATAAATTATGTGTAGATTTGAAATACATTAAAATCCTTAGAGAATACATAATTGCTTAGGGAAAGTATAACTATGACCATTTTAGACAAAGAGTATACCCTGTAAAAATTAAATTTAAAATATATTTGAGATTATTCTAATGTCCTACTGCTCCCTAAATTTCTTTCTACTGGTGGGTCTGCTGTCACATCTTTCTAAGAGTTTTCTCCTTATTGCAGTGCGTGTTTCCAGGCTAGCCTCTCACAGGATGATTTTCAGGGAAGGATTAGTTAGAAGTTTTCCTGTAGTGCTATTATTCACTTAGAAGACTAAGTGTTAAAACATGTTGGAACTGAAGAGGACCTGGGTTGGCTAAGGACGGAGGCATAAGCACCAGGATGGTCTGGATATGCTGAAGATGCTGTGAGGGTGAAAACAAGAACCTTGCCCTTTTCTTGGGGTAGCAATGACAGGCTTGGCGTTCAGGGAGAAGGAGAGATGTGTGGAGGCTGCAGAGCTTTTGAACAGAGAAAATCTGCAGGGAGAGGGCAAATCAGTTGGAAAGAGAGGTTACCAGAGAAGAGATATCACAGGCAGGCATGCAGGGTAAGTCACACTGAGCAACAGGTTTCAGGAAATAAGGGCAAGGCACTGGCTAGAGTACAGGGCAAAGTAGAAGCAGGTTTGGGAAAGGTTTTGAGGCATCACACCATGCTGCCCTCAATGGCCTCAGCGTAACCAAGGCACTAACAGGGCTGCCATATTAAGTTATTTTCCCTTTTCTGGGAATGAACACATCATCTTCAGCAACAACTACAGCAATTAAGTAGAAGGCAGCAGTCCACAAATCCACAAAGTTTCCTGCTGTAGAAGTATGGAATAGTAGCCAGTTTATATACTTAGTCACATTACAGTGGCAGCTGTAAGACCTGCAACTAATTCCTTAGCAGCATACTCTGATATCTGTTGAGGTATGTATACTATGATGATTAATGTGGCAACCTTCATTTCATTAATGTGTCTGCAGTAAAGGACCCTACCTAACACTATATTATAATAAGGCAAGTACATACCAGTGCAGTATTAAAGATGCACAGGCTATTGTAGTCTGCCTTTTTCTGACTTAGTCACTGATTTTGGCAACCCTTGATATACTTTTTTGGTTTGTTTTGGTTTTAGTTGTATTAAGTAGAGTTAGGCTGTGAATGCTCAGTATGACAGACAATGAATTTCAGCCTTACTCTGTGTCCTCACTGTGATATCCTGCTGGATTGTGTAGGGA